AATTACGAAATATAAAAAACGATGTTCTTCTCTATTTAAACCTGAATTTGATCCATTTGCCTGCCTGAACAAATCAAAAAATCTTGAGTAAAAGCTATATTCAGATACGACCTTAATCATTTCACATTTCAGTCGATTAGGTCTGTAGAAAACTTTAACCTCCTTTATTTCATAATCTGCTTATATAATTTTTCCATCTTCTCTCGCACCCACTTTTTTTCGATTTCGTAGTTGCACCTTCGATAGTCCATCTGCCGAGATATACACGAGCCGCAGGAGAGGTAGGCACCAGAATCTCCCTTACCTGCTACATCCGCACTGAACCTACACCACGTGTTCTATGGTTACGCAACGGCGAAAAGGTACCGATCTCCACAAACCCATTTTCCTCATCCAACCCACAATCTGAAGCAACTTCATTTTCTGGAAATGGTACTGAAGTGGAAGAGGTAGACTCGACAGTTGGCGTTGGAATGGATGTGTCTGGACAATCGGGCAAAACGCGCAGACTACGCTCCATCGGAGAACTCTTCAAAGGTTCTTGCTCAACTGAAAATGGCCAGCCATCATGCTCTGACCAGTGGTTGCGGCGAATGCAACGTAGGGAGAGGAGGACTCGAATCATGGCCAAAAGAAGCGCTGGAGGCTCAGAATCAGTGGGAGGATCCGATCAAGGAGCCAAATGGGGAAAGTACTTTGCCCGATTGCAGCATCTGAGGCCAGGCCTGTACAAAGCAACTCTGAGAATAATTCGGCTGAAGAAGTCAGACTTCGGTCAATTCTTCTGCCAGGTATGGCAGTAAGACAGCGAGGTCAAACGATCTCATTTTAGATATTGCTTCATCGCATGATTTCTCTATAGGCTAAAGTGCCTAAATTTGATCTTTATTTCATATTCTCCATTCTTCAGAAATTAGTTTTTGCAATAGCAGCACCTAATTAACAAGAAAAAATATAAGGGGTTTGGGCTGAAACTACCATTGAGAGGTGAGTTTTTGATACATAGCTAAGCGTATGGACAGTC